GGTTCCCATTGACTTCCATTGTATGGACAAAAAAAACCCCGAAACTGTTTAGTTAACAACATTCTTCAGATTATTTTTTACTGGGGGTGGGTATATGATATTTTATGACAGAATTTTTGAGTGGACAATCCCTTTAACTAGTGAGAAATCTAATGTTAAATCGCCCAGCATGTGGTACATTCACACGTGCTTTCTAAATGGTGTATGTAGTTCGACATCTTGTTTTCTTTGTCTGTTTCACATTTGTATACAGATGCTTCTTATTTTCCTAAACAAAAACAGAATCTCCCTAATGCCCGCTGAGATGCGGGTCATTTGCACACACAAAGACTCTTCACACCGGGAAGCGACTGCGTGTCTATGCAAAGCTCAGAAATAATATGGGTGTAGCCCTACATCTCTTCTTCTAGGACTTCTGCTCTCGCGTCAAATTTGAATCTAGTACCTCTAAATCAAAGACGCCGGCACATTCCTGTCCCCACGCCGAGTGTTTTCAAAAGACAAAAATATTTCATATTTGTAGGCCACAGCGAACGATATTGCACGGTCTTCTGAGATGCCGGTAATTGATAGGAGTGGAGAGTTTCCAAATCTCAGGCTCAATAATAAGATCTGCTAGTTTCCAAGTGCCCTTTTCTGCTCTGTTTGATCTAAGAGAGGCTGATGAAAAGAAAAAGGGACGAGCAGTTGTTTCTGACAGTAAAATGAGTTTCTTGTTTGTTTACGATTCTTGATTTGGCCATTTGTGAAGTGTAAAAAGCACACTTGCAATTAGGAATAATGACAACACCACATCAAGTGTGATCAAACTTGTAAAAGAAACGTCAGTTGATATATCTATATTCTAAGACATCTAATTATATAAAATAGCATGGCATTGAAACAAGAGAAGGGTACGAATGGATGTCATCAGTTATTACTAACCCCCTGTCCCTGGAAGAAATTGAGATTTCACCACCTACAGTTCCCATCTTGGGTGACAAAACATCCAGTTCGTGTCACAGACAGCCTTTGTTTTTTCTCTTTATTTCCAAGTTTTTGTGACACATTTGCATTTTCACACTACGCCAATGCTTTGTCCTCGTTTCATCGTGGGGGCCAGAAATACCACCGGTTTCTCCCAGAAAATGTAACAACTTCATTTCAAAAGATCAATTATCAGCATACAAATGAGAATGCTGGTACATGACAGCATGTCAAGAATCTTTGTGTAACCGATAAAAAAACGTCCACTTCCCATCTGCTGCTGTAACTATGGCTACGGGCTCTCCTTTGATTGACAATTCTCCCTCAACTTCACGACGAGGTGATGCAAGGATACTCTATAGCGTTCTCTAGTCTCCTTCATGTTTAAAGCTGAGGTTCTTGAAGTGAGGTAAAGAGGAGAAGTGAATTAGAATGAGAAGCTAAGAGAGAGAAGGTGGGAAGTCTGAAGTATAAGGAGCAGCTGTCGTCTCAGATCAAGAGAACCAAGCAATGTAATTTACAATAAGTTGTTAAACTTCAATTATACTGCCTCTCCAACCTTCTCCACAAGGAGTAGGTGTTACAAAGCGTCAGACCATGGAAGGTTAACAAGGCTGTTCAATGATATATCATGATTTTTTAGCATTTTATTTTTGATATTTTAAGGAAAATCACATTGACATGCATCACATGTGATGTTTCACACAATATACTGTATAATATCAGTTAAAAGTTTAAACACAATTGACTCCAAACTAAAAAGCTTTTGATCTTGTGCTTAAATGCTTAAAATTAGTTTTCCAGTCTGATATGAATTTTACAATACATACACTACCATTCAAAAGGTTGGGGTTGGTACATTTTTTTCTTTTCTTTTGAAAGACGTTTCTTATGCTCACCAAGACTGCATTTATTCAAAATAAAATACAATAAAATACAATAAAACAGTACTATTGTTAAATATTACTATGATTTAAAATTCTGACTTTTCAGCAGACATTACTCAATGTCACATGATCCTTCAGAAATCATTCTGAAGAAAAATTTCTTCTTATTAAAATCAATGTTAAAACTGGTTCCACAAATTTGTTTCATGAATAGAAAGTCTAAAAGAACAGCATTTATTTGAAATAGAAATATTTTGTAACATTGTAAATGTATGTATTTTAATGCAACTTGCTAAATAATTTAACATTTCTTTAACCTAAATCAATAAATAAATAAATGCTGTATGACCCAAAACTTTTGAACTGTAGTGTATTCACTTATTTACAAAATGACACTTTAAATATTTTATTAATATTCTAAAATTAAAATGTGGAAAGTAAAACCAATAAAAAAATGTTTTTTTTTAAATGTTTGAAATTAAACAAGCATTAATATTATATCAATTTCTAAAACCTAAAATTTGTCTAACAGTACATGTATACTATGACAAAATGGAAAATAGATGATTCCAATGGTTGCGTTGCAGTGATAAAATCTACTTTAAGGCTGACCATTCCAAAAAATGAACTGTTTTTGTTACACAGCACAGTATTTGCAACTCAAATCAATATTTTATGTCCATTCATTCATAAGTAGCCATACAATAAACAAAATAACATACAGCGATCATCCTGTCAGGGTTTATTTTGTAATAATGACCAGCTGACAGCACATTATTCCTTACTTATTTAAGCCAAAAATATTATTCTATATTTTTATTTCTGTTTATTATTCTATGAGTGAATCAATCTGACTGCACTAGGTTATACAAACAAAAGTTTTTTTTTCATGGGCCAGATCAGGTAGAAAGGAACTTTTTTACTTTAAAGTGTAGTTTGACATAAAAATAATAGTACTGAGGTATGATTACATAGGATCACAACATCAAACTCCTCGCGGCAGTGACAGCTTTAACCAGACGCTCCATTTGCTGAGCACATGCTTTACGTGCTCATGCTCAAACAGACATTACATAGCAGACTATACAACACCATCTGGCTCAGGACACAGGAGGCAGTTTGAGGATCTGTTGCACACTTTAAGTCTTTCTGCGTAACACATTCTTTACTAAAAACCTTCTTCCAAGAAGGTAGACACACACCAGATGCCTTAGCTCAAAAGCTACAATCATAGCTTTGATTATCCTCTGGGCTTGTGCATGAGCTTAAAGGGTAGTTCAACTAAAAGCATACAAATTCTGCCATCAACCTCATGTCATTTCAAATGCGTATGACTTTGTGGAACACAAAAATAAATTTGAAAGAATGTACTGACCAAACATTTGCATTTACTATGATTACAACAGCTTTCAATCTTCAAAATTGGCACAGAAACACTATAAAGTATCATAAAAGTGGTCCATTTGACGTGAACTTTAAAGTCAAAAATACAAAACAATAGCTATAAATGGAACAGAAAAAATTTAAGTCATTATTCACTGAAAATGTTCCCCTCCTGTGAGCAATTAACTAGAGAACTGCCACAATCAAAAGTTTTATGGTGCTTCTGCATAATTTTTGAAGTTTCATTTTGAAGATACATTATATTTGAATGAAAAAGCATGGCGTGTACTTTTTTTTAAATCTATCTGTTTCCACAGAATAGTACTGTCATATAGGAAAGTCATATAGGTTTAGAAAGACATGGAGGCATTGGGGAGGGATGGGAGCAGTTCATGAGGTTGAACTTAATGCACTTTGAAAGTGATGGACACTAGAGCTGCCGAGAGAAGGACATTCATCAAAAGGCTCCATGATTCAAGCTTCCTGACAGGAAAGAGGAAGCTACTGATTAGCTTTTCCATTAAGCTTGATCAATTCTGGACCAGCACATATATCCGTCTTTCTGCAGCACATCTGAACAGTGTCAAGGGAACACGTTAATTTGAAGCCATCGATCCAGACGCTCCATTAACATACTTAAAAACATACTTAACTATTGAGAAATCATAGCATGTGAAGCAAAATGAAAACAAGGTCAAGTCGATATATTAATGAAAACTAAATATTTATAAAAATAGTATTTTCAGTCATTTGACAATATTTTTGAAGATATATCTCAATTATGTATTGCTTGAAAATGCTTAAAAATACCCTACCATTCAAAGTTTTGGGATCAGCAGTTTGTTTTTGTTTTTTTAAGAAATGAATTACTTTTATTTAGTAATGTATTCAATTGATCAAAAGTAAATATGTATTTACCAAAAATTTCAAACAAGTGCTGTTCTTTTGAACTTTCTATTCATCAAAGAAAAAAAAATTCAAATAGAAAATGTAGCCTTGATGAGCATAAGAGACATATTTTAAAAACTTTTAAAAATCTTACCCACCACAAACTTGTGAATGGTAGTACATATCTCAATAATTATGATTTTTTTTTTAAAAACAGCTCAAATATGCCAAAAAGATTCAACATGTTTAATGTAAGAACTAAAAATAAAAAGAATTTAACTGAAAGAGTCTGATTAAAAGTAATTCCCACTACATGAATCTGCAATCAGTTTCATTTATATCTTTCTTCACAATTTTCCTTTATATGCACCAATTTAATAATTACCTTTTTTACTAAAACATTTGTAATCTGTAAAAAAAAAAAAATCCTATACAGGAATATTGAGCAAACCAATGGCATGAGTTTGGGGCGGGACTATCTTGGGCTATCTTGGCCAACCAATGGCAGACGTGAGCAGCATTCAGGAAACCTGTCTGAAAACACTCACTATGTTTAAGAAAAAGGTTTAATGTACAGCTATGACGGGCAGAACATTGGTCCAATGAGATTTCATTGTGGGTGGGGCTACCCAGTGGAATGCTGCAAAAACAGAAAGGACAAAAACTCTCACCGGGACAATGAAGAACTTTACCGCTTATCACGTCGCACCTGCTTAGGACATGGTGTAAATCTACTGATGTCAATGTGCACTGGCACGAAAGAGCCTATGCATTTCTGGAATCGTAAAAAAGGGACTGAGGTACAATTTACCGAAGCAGTGATGCAGATGACCAAACAGCAGTGTTTTTGCGGTGGCAAGTTAGCAGTCAACTCACCTGTAAAAAGGAGGAGGGTCACCTTGTGCCTCACAACTGAAAACCACCTCCCTGCTCTTCTCCATGGAGTCTACTGGAAACACAATGCTGCCTGGCTGCTTCGTGAACACGGGGCTCTGCAGCGTTTTGCCTACAGACAGACAGAGAGAGAGAGAGAAGGAGAGAAAGAGAGCGATCAGCACACTCCACTTACAGACACCCAACCTGCTTGCAAAACAAGCTATTAGCTGGTGGCTCTGAGCAGGCCAGCACTGGTAAGGCATTAGAGAGTCAAACCACAAGCAGACAAAACATATCAATTAATTCAACTAACACCACAGCAACTGTAATGGAATCGCCGTTGATTGATATAGAACAAGGGTTTGAGGACACGCGTTCATCAATTTCTATCACCCCTGTGGTCTGTTTTTAACCTTTGCTATGGCAGCGCAGTTGTAACGGAAAACGCTCGGACAATTAGACGTGCGGTAAGCGCCTCTCAGTTGTGATTTGAGGCTCTTCGTGTGAAGTGACACACTGAGATTGTGTAATGTGGTGTTTGGGTTTTGTTTCTTGTTCATTCTTCTTCTTCTTCTTCCGTTTTTGTGGTGGTTGGGTTTTGTTTCTTGTTCATTGTTTTCATGTCTTTTATTTTGTAGTTAGGCCTTAGTCATGTTCTGTCATGTGATTCCCTTGTCTGTGTGTTATGTTCTGATTGGTTGTTTTAGTCATGTGTCTTGTGCTTATTGGTTTATGGTCTTGTCATGTGGTGCTCAGTTCTGTTTGTCCATTGGTTGGTTTGTGTCATGTGACCCTTCTTGTTTGGTACAAATAGCCCTCATGTTCCCATTGTTCTTTGTCGTGTATTGATGTTGTAATCTGCTGTCGGTGAGTTAAGTCTGTTCAAGTCAAGTCAAGTCAAGTCAAGTCTTCGTTTATTGTTTGGATCACTTGTAAATAAAACTGCACATGGGTTCTCACTACGCTCGCCTTCAGTGGACTGAATCATTACAGATTGCTCACGCAACCTACTCAATTAAAGCAGCAATTTTTTTTTTCCGTTTTTTTGAAACATGTGACCAAACAGGATTAATTAGAAAATAAAACGAAGCACCAATATATTATTTTGGATCAATCTGTTAAATATATTCAGAGATATTCTTTTACTTTTTCACATAATCGCACTCAATACGTGTTAACATCATCAGATACAAAAATAATGTGTCAAATACATAAATATTGACAAGTGAAGCTTCACTAAAAAAATAATAATTATTATTTATTAAAGTGCCCCTATTATGCCATTTCCAATATTGCCTTTCATGCAGTGTGTAATGTAGCTGTATGTGAATGTAAACGATCTGCAAAGTTGTAAAACTGAAAGTGCACGATAAATAAAGTTATTGTCTCCCAAAATAAAGAATCGACTCTGAACAGCTGAAACGAGTCGTTAGTAATTCGAATCCCAATTCTGTGACGGCTACACGTGACAGGGTAATACATTTGCATAATGCGCACCTATGTTCTACGTTGGCCGGCCGCAAACAACTTGACCCCGCCCACAAACACGTCATTCTACTGACGACTGCTTCTCTAATCTCGGGAGTTCAACGCGGGATTCACAAAACATTTGCTGTTGAAAGATGGATCAGTATCCTGTTTATTTGGACCAGCTGCTCCACTGAATCACAACCTGTAAGTATGATAAATAATAGATGTTTATATTTTCTATAGAGCGTTCAAAATACAGAACTATTGAAATAGGCATATCGTTTCCGAAACGCGCTGTACGCTGTAGACCAATCACAACAGACTAGGCCATCTGACCAATCAGAGCAGAGCAGGCTCACGAAAACGAGGGGTTTAGAGAGACTCAATCTTTGAACTGCTTCGAACGAATCGTTTGAAAATCGCTGGAAAATGAGGTGATATTAAATGCATATTTTGAGAAAACAAAAGCGTTTTTTGACCTTGCATGCATGTAATCCTATTGTAGGAAACTCCCAAAACAATATTAGTAATCGTAAAAATGGCATACTAGGGGCACTTAAAAAAAAGTCATCATTTTAATTAAATGAATAATTCTTTCATAGAAGCAATGTTGCCATTCTCAAAAATAGTGCCTGGTAAATTGCCTTGTGCATGTTTTTTTTTTCCCACGTCTCAAAAGTGACAAAACTAACAGAATATAATAAGAAAGCTGAAGACACATGGGTAAGGTTAATAATGCTACAGTTACAGTTGCAGTGTCTTTTGTTACTGGACAAATTAAGCTTTTCTACCTTTACTATATTTGAAAAGTCCTCACAGTTACATAAAAGAGTCTCCACTGAAAAAAAGTGTCATGCGAATGTCACTTGGTTTAATTTACACAAAACACACCTGAAGGCAAAATTATTTTCTATCATTTTACACCTACAGCATTAGCTGATTACATTTGTGCGTTATATGTTTTCACATGTTGTTGGTTAGTGTATGTTTGCTGGCTCAGTGCAAAGAAAACTCATTAAGTATTGCTTAACTGGTAGAAGACTGCTCCCTGGTAGAAGAGATATTGTATCTCAATGGGACCTTCCTGGTTAAACAAGTAAATAAATAAATTGCACTTCACCTCACTGGATCTCTGACCAACTGATCTAGCAAACTGTGCAAAAGCGAAGGAAAAAAACAGATGAAGTAGAACTGAGACTAACTTAGTCTGAAGCAGCCATAAAAAGCTCTAAAGGTCAGCAGATGCGCTAACAAGCAGCAGGAGTGAGCATTTTCTCCCAAAACCAGAGAACATCTGCACATGTTTCAGCTTCAAAATAACAGAAAAAAAAGCTTTTTTAGCGGCAGGGGGTGTCAGCACATCGTGGTCAGCACATCAAATAAATACGAGCAGCTTAAAAAATATTCAAAACATTATTTAAACAAGCAATAAATGGGGAAAAAGCAGCAGAAATCATAACGTTTTTCTTTGGGTTCTTTTCTGCGAAATACCTTTAATTCCATTTACTGAAAAATGCTTTATGGTTTGAGAGCTTGTATTGCTTGCAGGAGACAAAGTGAGAGATAAACTTTAAGCTTCTTTAAAGGAGCAAAATGTTGGATTTTCTTTTTCCTGAGGTCTTTTCTAAAACATTATTTCTTCTTAGGCAGCTTGGTTGCATAATGCTTTTGCCATAAGCCATGTAAATGTGCTTTGTACCTCAGATAATATTCAAAATATGTCATGTTCCAAAACCATGTTCCAAAATGTACTTAAAAAAATAGGATATCAGCTCACTCCATATGAAAATCTGAAATACGATTTGGATTGAAAATGAAATGAAATGAAATAAACAACAGTACAAATTAAAATCCAAACAACAGGCTGTCAGTTCCAACATTTCTATCAAATACCTTTCTAAACATAACAGATTACAGATTATTTTGTGCTATACATTGTCAATGAATATTGATTTATTTCCTATATTTTAATTTCACTCTTAAATTGTTACAATACATTCCAAAAATATTACTAATTGACTTTGTTGTATTAAACCGTGATTTAAATACAAGTCTGGAAATAATTAATATAATTTAACAAACAATTATAAGTTCAATTTTGCTAATTGAAATCAAGTGACCGCCTGCTTTCATAATTTGAGAATATATGTAAAATTTTAGGAAATCTGAAAATACGTAAAAACATGTTTCAAGTGAAAAGCTTTGTAATGTGATCAAATATCAAAAAGGTAACCAGCTCACATGTTCTGTTTCATCTCAAAATTGCATGTCAGTCACTATTCACCATCCATTCTGCAAGAACTGATGTGTCTTTCAGGGGTAAGTGGATACTTACATCACCGGCAAAGAGCGAATTCGGTACTAAGTGCCTTATTTTGCAACCTTCATTTTCACTTTGTTGGATTGGGTGTGTATGTGTGAGCAAGCTTGAACAGTTGTTTACACATTAACACAGTAGAATTTCATCCACAGTGCATAAAACCAAAAGATAAAAAGAGCAAGGTGAGTGTGTGTGGATCGCTGCCACCTGTACGGCTGCTCTCTAGGTCCCGGGTGCTTTAATTGGGCTTGTTTTGCTTCCCATAGATACTTCATCGCGGCTCTAACGATCTCCACTAATTCTGCCTGTGACATGACAATGACAACTCCTTATTTCAGTGTCAGAGACACCGCGGTGCATTCCCTCTGTACCTGGTGATAAACACTGCTCCACAAACACTGTTTGGATTTACAAAACCTGTTTGGCAAAATATGAGCAGGTTTTTAGGATATAAAATTCAACCTGAAATCAAAATGTATTCTTTATTTTAATGTGCACAATTAAAGACATGTGTTGATCCAGGTTGAGCGCCACTTTTTCTGTCAGATCTCAACTATGATATCAAATAAAAAAGAATAAAAAGCCACTTAAATAATAATATAAAAATGGAAATATAATAAAAACTAATAGAATTATTACAAATATATAATATGAATATACACTTCCATTCAAAAGTTTGATAGGATTTTTGAAAGAAGTCTCTTATGCTCAACAAGGGAGCATTTATTTGATCAAAAATACAGTAAAACAGTAATATAGTGAAATATTATTACAATTAAACATAGCTGTCCTCTATTTTTAATATATTTTTAAAATGAAATTTATTACTGTGATGGCAAAGCTGAATATTCCGCAGTCATTACTCCAGTCTTCAGTGTCATATGATCCTTAAAAAATCATCATAATATGCTAAATTGCTGCATAATATGCTAACATTTCTTGTTATTACTGATGTTTTACTGCTAAAAATGTTTGTGATACGTATTTGTCTGGAGAGTTCAATGAATAAAAAATAAATCAAAAGAACAGCATTTATTTTAAATGAAATGGTTTTGTAACACAAATTCCTTTACTGTCACTTTAGATCAATTTAGATAAACAAAACAAACAAACATTGTATTATATAAAAATTAGACACATACTATACATATTTTATTCCGTTTTTTTTTTCATGGTAAGGGTTCAGATAAAAGCTGACCTATCAAGCCACTCAAACCAACAGAGTTTTTAAGGCACCACAGACACAGTGTTTACACTCTTTGGGCAAATCCAATAACTGGGACAAAAGAAAGTATTTATCAAAAACACTTTTCAATCCATAAGAGATTTCTTCAGCCAGT